CACTTTTCAAATAAATTCAGTCATCCATGTTGAAAACATTTTCTAAACATATCTTAGTTGATAAGAAAAAGTCCATAACTTATTTTACAAAGAGCTTCGAATATACTTATTCTTACTCCAAGTAGTATTTTCCAAGTACTAATATCTCTCAGTCACTCATCTTAATCTTACCTGAAGTTTTTCAACAGCGAGATAATCTGTACTAATTCAAAGCTCTGAGTGTCTTGCTCTAAAGGATTGTCTGTACTCTCTTGCCAGCGGCATTCAATGTGTGTGGTGCGCGAGATGTATGCTAGTAAGAACTATGCAATAGCATTCTCCTGTATGTGGAGTGTCCATGGCGCTGCTGTGGGTATTAGAGATGGACCATCAGACGGGGGGAGATGCACCTTTGTGGGACGCTGCTCACGTTGGCCCGGGATTAAAACTCTCCATTTGCTAGTCTCTTAAGTATCCCTCACCATGACATGGCAATTTACTACTGATCATTAATATTCCATTGATGAGGTCTACTGAGAAATGTCTTCAATCACACCTCTCGTTGTTAAAACTCTGACCTTATACGACAGAACCAACTATCTTAAGTCGCGAGTTGCAAATATCGGGGTATCCAAAGTAAAGCGATCTCTGGCGCTGAGATCAGTGACCGTGCGGGCACGCGGATCTCTGTAGGGGTGAGAGTTATTATCTAGATGCAAGATCATCTGCAGATGTTCTTCCATTTTATCATACACCTCTTGTTCCCTCACACGCTTTGTTGGAGCTCCTGCCTCCCCCCTCACCTATCCGCAACGGCTCTTAACCTTATCGCTGCTACTGAAATCTTAGAACTGTCACAGGAAGAGCTGAGCGCGCAGCTTTTCACTGCCTTCCCTCAGGAGTATATAGTTAGCACACCACACACGAAATAGTAGTGGTTGAAGTGATAGTGTATGGATAATTGAATGCTTTTACGAAGGGTCTTATAAGACATATGCAAATATCATGTGCTCGAGCTTTAATTTTGTGGAGCGAAACGACGAGCGACTCTCGAATAGAAGTACAGATCCTTTCTAATGAAATCAGGAGAAGATGCAAGTATTAATGCGAACAAACAAAGGCAGGTATCGTATGTAGGATAGAGCCTGCGCGGTGGTCTGAGGTGCAGTCATATTTTATTGAGCTTGTGGTACGGAAGATTAGTCAGTGTGAGTAAACATGACTTATCCGCTGCCTTAACGCTGCTCCGCCCTTTGAGGCTCGAGGAGCAGACAGTGTGAGCTGGGTTACTGGTGTCATTTCCTGGTTGCTGCGTGGGGTCTGCGAGAGAGCCAGAAACTCAGCCCGAACACCATGGACGCGGGAAGGGGGGTGCTGAAGGGGCTGCAGCACCAATTGGTGCCAACGGGTCGTCGTTACGCCAGAGTGACCAGAAAGAAAAAAATGTGAAAAAGAAAAATGTGAAAAAGAGAAATGTCCAACGAGGCGTTCTGGGGCAGAATAGACAGGTCTTCTCTGTGTTAGAGTTTTACTCGCTACAGGGTGTACTTTGAGGGTTTGTGACCCTGCAGACCGTTCACATGCATAAAAACCTTCATACCACACAAGGGGACAGTGTGTGCATGCCAGCTTCCTTGAAAGGCACCTTGCATGGTAGCCTCTGCTATTTCCTCAGCATGGGTGAATGATGACTTTTATATGTAAAGTGCTTCGAGGAGTCGTAAAGACTGGAACAAAGCGCTATATAAAAAGCAGTCTATTTACCATCCATGTTAAAATTTACGACCCCTCACTCTGTGTAAATAAGAGTCTGCAGTCATTTATTAATCCTTCAATTTGTCAGGATTATGAAGCTTCAGTAAATACACAAATATAGAGAAGAAAAGCCACTTGAATCAGGGCCAAGATCAGCTTTTACTCCACCTGTTTATCGTGGTTAAATAAGGGCTGTTCACTCAAATGAAATAGACACAAAATGTTTAATCAGGATTATTTACAATGCAGCGCCCTCTGTGCTCCCAGAGATCCCAATCAGCCCGCTTACTCTGTTTGTTTGCAACCGATTGAGTAAATGTGTGAAACCAGTTAGACGAGGCCAACACACACACACAAACACACACACAGCCAGATGTTTCATTCCCCAGTGCTGACACAACATTTGAACAACTGAGTGCCTCTTGGGTTCTCTTCCAAACTCCCGCTCCTCCAACAGCCCTCATTCAATTCAATCCCCAAACACATTTCTGGGCACATGTGCAACCTTGGCATCTCATACACACACACACACACACACACACACACACACACACACACACACACACACACACACACACACACACACACACACACACACACACACACACACACTGACACACTAATGGCTGCCAGGGTAACACTTGAATAACGACCTGTTTTCACATAGTGATGAATGGCCTGACTGATATTTTAGTCTGAGTAAATAAGCCTTGATTTAGTAGCACAACATGTTAGCATGTGCAAACTAAAATAGCATGAGTTATGAGTAATTTGTGGGTTAGACCTACTCCATTTAAGTAGCCAAGCATAGGTATGTGTGTGTGTGTGTGTGTGTGTGTGTGTGTGTGTGTGTGTGTGTGTGTGTGTGTGTGTGTGTGTGTTACCCTGCCAGGGATTGTCCAGATGCTTGTTCTAATTTGATAAAGACTGCAGCCACACCCACAGGTCTCCATCATTCTCATGGAAACAAAACACCAAGGTTTGAAATCATCAATGAAATCTACGAGCAGAGACACAAGGACACAAAGATGCCAGCCCTAATTATATTCATGGAAGATTGAGTTTAACCTTTTCACTTTAGTTGTCAACAGTAGGTCAACAGTGTGTAATATTGCAGAGCTTAATCCTAATTGACCCCTGCCACTGCCAGCATCCTCGGGGTAATACACCAGCGTTAGTTTAGAGCTGGATTGTGGGTTATCTGGTCCCAATAACTAAGTGTAGCTAGGCAGTCAGTGTGGCCAGCAGGCACAGATTCATGCTGGAAAATATAATGTTTTCTAATGCTTGAAAGTAATATTAGTAGTTCTTAAGGTACACTTACTAGATTGTGGAGGGATTTACTTACAATTAAGCATTATTGTGTGATTGGTTCTCAGTTGTGATATGATTTGTCAAACTGTTATTTCCAGTCAGAAATTAATTGCTATCTTTTTGTGTTTTCAAATGTAAAGAATTTTAGCACGTTTATTTATCATCTCGCAGGTCTAGCATCGCATTGTTTCCCTCCCACGTCCACATAGAAAGGTGATATTAATTAACTGGTTTTGTTGCAAATACTCATTATTTTCCAATTCATTTAATCTGCGGATTTGCATTGCATACAAGGTTATATGCAAACATCAGTCCTTTACCCAATAAAGTTTTGGGAAAAGCTTTTAGGTTAATTATTTTAATATTACATAATCATATAATAAAATGCAAAAACACAGCTAATGATTGAGAACCAGAAAAAAACCTGACTTTTCCTAATAACTCTCATTAATACAGCCTGTCTCTCTGTCTGTCTCTCAGCCTGTCTCTCAGCCTGTCTCTCTGTCTGTCTCTCTGTCTGTCTCTCAGCCTGTCTCTCTGTCTGTCTCTCAGCCTGTCTCTCTGTCTGTCTCTCTGTCTGTCTCTCAGCCTGTCTCTCTGTCTGTCTCTCAGCCTGTCTCTCTGTCTGTCTCTCAGCCTGTCTCTCAGCCTGTCTCTCAGCCTGTCTCTCAGCCTGTCTCTCTGCCTGTCTCTCTGCCTGTCTCTCAGCCTGTCTCTCAGCCTGTCTCTCTGCCTGTCTCTCAGCCTGTCTCTCAGCCTGTCTCTCAGCCTGTCTCTCAGCCTGCTCTTCTGAGGATTTGATGACCTGTGATTTACTGCTATAACATGTCTGCAGCAGTTTAAATGGAAATGTGAAAATCCCCCAGGTCTTTCCAAGGATAAGGTTTTGCTTCACTTCCTGTGCATGAGTGTGTGCAGTTGTTGCTAGCTGCATGTCCCCCATATGTTGGCATACATAACCTTGAAAGTTCTTCTTCCTCTAAGCATCATAGGACGGCTCAAAGGACAGGGAATGAGCCAATCAGCCGTTACGGTCACCCCACTCACATTGCTCATCTGTTCACACATTCTGCACACACACATTCTGCACACACACATTCTGCACACACACATTCTGCACACACACTCACACGCACACAATCACACATCCTCTCAAGATGCTGGATGTGAACATGCATATGTAAGACCCAATATCTAGGGCAGTAAAATATTGCGTGTAACTGACGTGTTACAGCTAAATTTAGACCTTCATTGAGTCTGTTCAAAAGGGATGAAGAGGGGGAAGGAGCAGAGAGAAGAAGAGAGGGGGCTGAGAGTGGGAGACGGCTGAGGACGGAGCGAACAAATATGAACTGTAAGGGACACAAGATGGGGTAAA